GAGCCTCTTATCTGCTTCCTTGCGGCCCTGGCTGCTTCCTTCCATCGTTGTATCGTGACCTTCCCATGCCCACCAGCACTCAACAGTCCTCCCAGACCCTGCCCTGCGAGGGTTTGTTCCTCCTTTCTACCTGTTTTAAGAGAAACCTGCTCTAATGCAGATCCTTTCTTGTTTTCTCCCCCACTTGCCTTCCTCCCCTCTCCCCATCAAGCTCAGAAACAATTCCTTCTTTTTGGAGTGACTAACTGGGGCGAACAAAATGGGTGTGAAGCCTTCACTGTCACCTGGGGAATGCCACAGTTCCCCTCTAATGAGCACCCAACAACTGTCACGATATCGTGCCCCAGGTCTGGCAGCGCGCGTCCCTCCTACGGGCTCTCTGGGCTTAGCTGGGGTTAATGCAGAGCGGACTTTTAAGGAGCAGAGATGGAGCATCAGCCTTAAAAACAGCACAGGCTAACAAGAAAAAGTAGCTGCTGCTTGGTCAGTGTCCCTGAGAGCACAGGACTTGCTGCAAGCTGTTTCCATTTCTTATAAATGCCTCTCTTACAAAAAGGAAGTTTGGTTGAAGCACATGCAGGAGAATGAATAATGTCAGAAATGCTGAAACTCTGCCCAGATGGCATGACGTAATACTAGTGAGCGCTCTGATCTGCAGGCTACAATAAATATATCCTGGGATGGGCCGTTTATGGTTTCCTGGAATTGGAAAGACCTGTCTCAGTTCTCCCCACTGATGGCACGGTGAATTTTGAAACCAAACCAAAATGAGATTCTGGCCTTGGTTTGGTGGGAAAAAAAGGAATTCCAAGAATTTGACTTGTGTCCTCAGACTTGCCCTGCTCCTTACTTTCCTTTTAACCTTGCAGGAGGACATAGACATTTCATGAGCTGTTTGCCAAGGAAAGTCCTGTGAGCAGCAGGCACCTGGCAGCTGTGACGAGTCTGCCTAACGAGGGTGGAAACCTGCAGCAGCCTGAGCCTCCCTGCTAAAGGTTGGAGAGACTCAGTCCTCTCCTGGTGCATGTGGGAGCATAGGAGCCAGCAGCCGCAGCAGCAGCAGCCGCCACCTCCTCAGCCTTTCCCCCGGAGCTGCTCTGCCAGCCCTAGCTGAGGTACAGTGGGGCTGTGCTGGCCTGGGATGCCCTGGGGTCCTGGCATCCCAGCAGCTAACCCATGTGAAGTCAACTGGGGAGTCCATTCATTTTACACTGCTGAAGTCCCACCGAAGCAGCTGGGGCTGACATCAGTAGGAAAAAGGTGAGTTATGTATTAAAAAATTTATTTTTTTTTTTAATATGCACTTAAGAGTACCCATCTGAAGGTACTGAACAAACCCACTTGCCTAACTGGCTGTCTGAAGAGCAGGAGTTAAACCAAATCAAGCTACAGCTTCCAGGACAAGCAGCATGTTGTGGGCAAGGCTGGTTGTGCCTCTTGCCTGGCCCCAAGCTGGGAAAGTTTTCTCTTTCCTGGATGGATCAGAAAAGGTGCCAAACTTCCCAGCTGTCGGAAGGGGAAGGACATGCCAGCCGAGTCACCCTACCCATGATAGCATCGTGCAGTGCCTCCAGCCCATCGCAGGCATAGGCAGGGTCCAGACTGGGCAGTGCCCGGGCTGGGGGCTCCCTGGGGCCACCATCCACCTCCTGTGCCCCGCTGCTGCCTGTGCCCCTCTGCTGCCTACTAGTTGAGCCTGGCAGCTCAAGCAGGCCAGGGTACCAGTGAGCATGGAGGCAGGGAGACCCTGGGAATTTAACTGTAGCTCAATCTGGAGGCTGCAGCACAGTGACCTGTGAGTGTGTTTCTTCTCTGCTCTGCCTCAGGAAGAACATCAATAACCCCTGCTTTGTTTGAAATACTCTGTCCCATCCTCATGCAAAGGGGCTGCCAAAAAAGAAGCTCTTAGACATGCTGAAAAGTGCTGTTGGGCTTGTCACGTTAGCACCGTTAGGAGCCAAGGGATGGGAGAGCAAAGGCAGGACGTGCTGGGAAGGCAGCTCACGCCCAGCCTGCTGCCTGAGCTGGGGCAGCTCCTGCTGGTGTGCACCAGAATGGGAACCCCAGTTGTGCTGCCAGGCCTGGTCCCAGGTGCTGGGAAGGAACCAGGGGAGGCTGGTATCGAGAACCTCACAGGGCGACCATAGCAAATAGTGAAAGCCTTGTGCAATAGCTGTTAAAACATTTGCAGTTTAGTCCCTTGTTTCGTTATTATTTATTGGCTGTTAACCTTGAAGCAGACCGCATGCATCTCTGTCCAAATAGAAACCACTGGTAAGAACAGCAGCCTTATTTGATAATAATGCGATTTCCATATGCGAGAGTCAAATTTGGTGCTTGGAAAAATACTTAGAGTCATTTCAGCGCCACAGGCGGCACAGCCTCAGCCCCCGCACCGTGGCAGGTACGCTGCTGCTGCGCTTGGGTCGGACCGGTCGCTGCTGTCGCTTTTGGGTGCTGCTTTTGGAGACTCTAAAAGGGGGTGCTGTAAGTGCTGGTTCTTCCCACCACCCCCACCAAAAAGGGAAAAGCTAAGTGATGTGTCCAGCTGGACACTGGGGAGCTCATTGTAGTTCAGACAACAGTCTGCAGCAGGGGGAAGGACCCCTTGCACCCTTCCTCCCATCGAGGAATGGGAGGACCCCCTGAGCAGCACCCACCAGCCAGGAGGGACCGCCAGGGAAAGGGACACCTTGACAGCAATGGCTGTCCCATGTGGATCTGTGAAAGAAGCACAGATTATTATTTTTTTTTAATTATTGTTACTATTTTTTTTAACATCCTCTGGTGTCCCCAGGCCATCGACTTGCCTTCCTTGGCTGAAATCTCAGGGCAGCGTGGCTATCCCTCCCACGCGGCAGCCCTCACATCCTTTTGGGGGGGCAGGAGAGAGCACCCAGCCAGTGTTGGCCCCCTGAGTCAGCCATGGTGCATGGTGGCTGTCCCCTGCTCGCTGCGGGGAGCGCGTGACTCCCCGCTGGGTCTCATAGCAGAATTGCTGACTTATGGGGCATGGAATGGAGAAGTTGCCCTTTCACGGGGGGGCTGGCGAGTAGCCAGGCGAGTGGGCGAGGTGCAGGGTTGAGTCAGCAGTTTGGGACAACCCAGGTGGCTGGGCCACCTTGGCAAGCAAGGGCCCTTGCCCTGGGGGGGTTAAAACCTGGGCTGGTGCAGTGGTGGGGACACAGGGGCTGCAGGGCCGGGGGGTGGCAGGGGGCAAGCGTGACCTCATGCCCAGGCATCGCGACAGGGCTTTTTGAGGCACATCCAGCCCTGGGCAATTTTGGCGTTTGCACCCATTTCATTGGGGTTTCTTGCACCAAACAAGCCAGGAGGGGCAAAGAGGGCCAAAAAGTCCTCCTGGCTTGTTCAGCGGTTGCTCTCT